ATTATAATAGTATAGTAATTAATATTAGCTTCCGATCACAGCAAGCTTACTACTTAGAGCGGAACTACAAATCAACCTATTAATTATCACAGCCAGTTAAGTATATTTTTCTTACTCTCTTCATTGTTTCATTAGTTGGATACCCTCGTGTAAATGACAGTTTCGGCCGTAGACCCAATAATATCTCGCAACATTCGGCCAGCATAGGAGATTTAGGCTAGTCCTAAATACATATATTAAGCTAACAAAACAATCTCTATAATAAAAGTATAATAATAACAACATAATAAAAGTAGATATGGTTAATATTCTTATTAATACTGTTAATTAAATATAAATAACAGAGTATGCCTTACTTATGGAATACACAAACACTATATTTTGGTTTCAAGTATTGTCATAGATGTAATTCACGATGTTAGGAAAAAATACGTAGGTTAAAACACAATTAAACCTTATAAGTATAACCCGAGCACTTTCGAAAGGCGAACATTTGTTCTTCATGGGCCAATAGTTTGACTATGATATAAAAATGTTCACCATTCGAAAGAGCTCGGGTGTTTTGTCGTAATTTTGATACTTTTATTTTTGCTTAAATTATAATAATGTTATTAATAAATGGAGCTACGTACCGCAGTATGGGACCTCCCCTTTCCACGTTCCATCCGGCGAACAGACACGACTAGGTCCCCTGCAAGATCCAATACTCGTAACTAACACACAATAAAAGTTTGATTGTACATGTAATCACTTTTTTAAGGCTTCAAAAGTTCACTTCTGCTCACGTATCATTTGTCAGTTTCTAGCCATTAACAAAGAGCAAGCCAATTTCTGAGTATGAAATATTGGTAAAATATTATTAATTTTGGGCGTGTCAAAACCCGCGAAAGACTGCCAAAAGTTGTGAACAAAACAAGTAACACGGTTAAATTCAGCAAGGTTTGTTTGTCTTAACCTTCTACATAAAGGTTGTAGCAAGTTTCAAGGGGAAATAACTTCCCTACAAGTAAATGTGAAATTATATTGTTTCACGTATCTGAATGTCATTATTTTAATAATTGGTTGCGTTGTTATTAAAATTCAGTACAAAGTTGACTTATGAGAGTAGAGGGGATAATTAGAGAAATAACACTTTCTCTGTAGAAAACTTCGACGTTTGTACCAGTTACAGGGCAATTCTCTGATGTTTGGTGGTGGCAAAGCTGTTATCACAGCATATTTTCATCTAACAGTTTTATTTATTTTATTGTAAAGATACTGAACACAACTATTAGTTGTCAGTAAAACTATACAGGTTCTGATTGGACGTTAAGAATTCGATCAATGTAACTGCCAGCTTGTAAAGTAACTTGATTAAAAAACACTTATTTCCATCTTCCTAACCCTCTCTGTTTTGCATCTTTTCTGCAGTATTTAGAAACAACCATAACTACCTTAAGTACTCGTAAGTGGCAGATGGTAAAAAAAGCGATAAATTATGTTTGGAATCGCTTTTTTTACCATCTGCCACTTACGAGTACTTAAGGTAGTTATGGTAAATTATGTTTGGAAGCTGATTATAAAGAATTCGGGGAATAATTTTACCATAGTTTTGTGGGAGTCACGACATGGTGGTGTTACTGATATTGTGACTAACCTTTACCGGAAATGTTTTTGAACACACGTTGACGAATCACATTTTAAGAAATATTTGTGCAATAAAATTATCAAGAATATAAGACTATATAATGCTTTTAAACAGAGCACAACTAGGGATCATTAAATTAGAATGGATCTGGATCCGCGCTTTGGATTCGTAAAACAATTCCCGTTTGTATCGATGTATCTGTGTTTACTGGATTTGTTTTTATATTCATATTATAATTATTGATAGAACGACTTTAAATTTTGCATATAGGCTCTTAACCCTCTAAAGAGTAATATAAACGAAAAAAAAAACACACCATAGAAAAAATTCTGAGGGTCCCAAAATTGAATAATTAAGGGTGTTTGGGTTTACTTAAGAATTGACATGTAAAGAACCGCTTATGGATATCAAAGACGTTTTAGGGGCTGTTTAGACCAGATCAAGTTTTAAGGATTGTCTAGATTCAATCAAGTTTTAGAGGCTCTCTAGACTTGAACAGGTTTTAGGGACTATTTAGAGTAGAATTATAGATTTACCAAAATATTAGTAAGGACTTGTTCAAAATGAATATCTACGTTTAAGCCTTCCAGTTTTTAATATTGGGTTTGTTTTGTTTGTTGTTAAACAAAGCTACACAATGGGCTACCTATGCTGTATCGAAACTCAGTTTTTAGCGTTGTAATGCTCCAGACTTGCCGTTGAGACACTGAAGGGGGATTTCGTATTGGGTGGGACCCACAGATGGGGATCGAGGGGATTTGAGGAGCTTTCAGGATTGGCTGTATGAATTAACATGAAAATTGGTACGAACCAGTAAATTGCCGTTCGACACAAGGTGTTTATTTGTTCTGTGTAGTTATTATTTCTCTTCAGTATTCCGGTTATGGGTACGCTTTATTACTGCTCTTCAGTCTTTGGTTGATTAAAAACAGATGAGAAAATACAGATGTTACGGGCGATTCAGAATAAGCAGTTGTTGAGTTAATAGTTATAAACACAGTTGTACTCTCGTTTAATCTGCTCAATCTTTAACACTTTTTCTCAGAATTTATCGGTCGAAACAGTTTTCTGTACAAAGTTTAAAACAGTCAGAAAAATAAAATACTTCATAATTTTAATCAAATAAAATTAGTCGTTATGCGACGTTTCACACTTTATATTTAAGTGTGTGAACCAAATCTTCATTGTGAAAATCAATGGAGCAAACCCATCTTCGAACTACTGATTGGGTTTTGGTATTTCTCGACATTATTAGCAAATACAATTAAATTTTGTTTTAATGATATTTTTGGGTTGTAATGGATTTCAAGCTGCTTCTAAGTGGACTCGTTGTAATGGATTTCAAGCTGCTTCTAAGTGGAGTCGTTGTAATGGATTTCAAGCTGCTTCTAAGTGGACTCGTTGTAATGGATTTTAAGCTGCTTCTAAGTGGACTCGTTGTAATGGATTTCAAGCTGCTTGTAAGTGGACTCGTTGTAATGGATTTTAAGCTGCTTCTAAGTGGACTCGTTGTAATGGATTTCAAGCTGCTTCTAAGTGGACTCGTTGTAATGGATTTTAAGCTGCTTCTAAGTGGACTCGTTGTAATGGATTTCAAGCTGCTTCTAAGTGGACTCTTTAAACATTCAGATTACACAGCTGTTCACGGAGTTGTCTACAGATGTGTATATATATATATGTAATCCAGAACCGCGAAGACAAGACACACGCCAAAAAAGAAAATGTCAAAAACGGAGTTGTCTACAGATGTGTATATATATATGTAATCCAAAACCGCGAAGACAAGACACACGCCAAAAAGAAAAATGTACAAAAACGGAGTTGTCTACAGATGTGTATATATATATGTAATCCAAAACCGCGAAGACAAGACACACGCCAAAAAAGAAAAATGTCAAAAACGGAGTTGTCTACAGATGTGTATATATATATGTAATCCAAAACCGCGAAGACAAGACACACGCCAAAAAAGAAAAATGTCAAAACCTATATAGTATTCAAATAGCATTGAATATAATCTTTGTCTTCAATTATACATCAATGTGGCTAAGAATCTGGTGTGCAACAACAGACGAACACATTTGAAATTATTAGCAGGTCTGGTTCAGGTGTTTGAACCTGTAATGTCCTTATCCAAACTATACATTCATTGTCTGTAGCCGGTTATGGGAAGGAGGTTGTCCAGTAATATAATCAGAGTTAATAATTCAACCATAAATAATTCAGAATGTTAATAGTAATGTATAAGATGAGAAAAGTGAAATAAAAGGATTAGGTTCTGAAAATGATGTTTGATATAAATAGATACCTCTAAAAATATTACCTTCTGAAGATAACACACAGTAACAGGATAATATGTGGTAGTACTTTCCTCAAAATAATATAGTGACATGGCGATAGCACGGTTTTACTTTCTGAAGATGACTTACAGTAGCAAGGTGTTACATGGGCACAGTATACCGTCTTCAGAAAGTAAAAGAAAGTAAACCCATGTAACACCTTGCTATGGGTTTACTTTCTGAAGACGGTATACTGTGAGCAAGGTAGAAAGTAAACCCACGTAACGTAACACCTTGCTCACAGTATACCGTCTTCCCCATCACAGTATACCGTCTTCAGAAAGTAAAAGCAAGGTGTTATATGGGTTTATTTTCTGAAGACGGTATACTGTGAGCAAGGTGTTATATGGGTTTACTTCCTGAAGACTGTGAGCAAGGTGTTACATGGGTTTATTTTCAGAAAGTGATAATCAGAGTGATGCCTGGTTTTATTTTTTTAGTTTCATACATTAAGTTTTAGAATCCTATCAAGTAAGTGGCGAGTGCTTTGCCCACACTCACAAGGTAATACATTATGTCTTTCTAAGAAGTAAACATTCGTTCCTGTTCTTGTTTTACCGAAGACATCGGCAGAAGGAGGAGGAGGGGAGCTCGAGAGAAAAGTTGGCCAGTAAGTTAATTTCAGATTATACTTTGTAAATATAATTCAAGTGCTTGGTAAACAACTGAATGTCACATATCTTCATTTATTCCAGCCGAAGTTCAGTAAATACGGTAGTTTAAGTTTTCGAATACTTGATGTTAAATACTGTTACGTCTCCGTTCGTTAGTTAATTTTCCGTAAATTCGTTCCGACGAGACTTTAGCGACACAAGTCCTTTCTTAAATAAAACTGGTTTATTCTTTCCGAATACAACTTTACGATACACTTAATTTCAACAGTCGCTCTGTAACAAACGCTATAATTCTCAACGAACTTCTCACGTGCTTAACAATATTCTCTCTGACTGCAGTTCAATTACTCATTACCTCTGTTGTCCCGTCACGTTGTGAACGTCTTATATATACAAGACTAACACATATCTAGTAAATGCTAGGGCATTCTTGAAGGAACAGGATATTTCTAGAAAGAGGTGGCGTGATACTAGTCACGTGACCTCGCTGACGCAACAATACGTTAAAAACAACACAGTACAATAAAACTATGTATAGGCTTAAATCTCACTTAAAACTAAACAATAAAAAACACAAGAAAAATACGGTTTATTACGCAAGCGTTTGTTTTTTTAAGATCTTTAGGCCTAGTTTGTAAAATATTCTTTCGTTGACGGATTCTTTTGGATTATTTGTTGACTTTATTAATAAAGTCCAATCTATGTGACGATAATGATGTAATATATATTTTCAATAAATGTTTTATATTCACACGTTCACTTATACGTCTAATTTCACAAATAAACTTTTCGTCATAAATTTTGCAACTAAATATAGGCCAATCTTTAAATACAACATTTCAACATAACCCTCGAGACGTATATCTAACTTAATTAGTTTGATAGATAAACACGTAACTCGCCGAGTAACTGAATACACGCGATATCTTTCATTGAATATTTTTTAACACTGAACTGACTTGCACCGAATGCCTGACTCATCACTATTTATTCATATTTATATCGTTCTCTTGTTTCTACTAGTCCAAAACTTGAAGTCGTCGTAATGACGAGTTGCATCTGGCAAACATCTAAATTAAAACGTTAAAAATAAAGTTTACAATATTAACCA